TGGAGTTTTGGGAGGGCGGAGTTTGGGCGGGATGGGTTCTGGGCACCACCAAAATTTCTACAAACCTGCCACCCATGCTTGCATCTTTACTCAGGCCTGAGGATGGATTTGGTTACTTGGACTATACAAGATCTTTGGAATCAATGGGTGTTAGATGCTTAAAGACCTTTGAGGTCTTGCATCTGAAGAAGTGAGGTTCTTACCCACGAAAGCTTATGCTCCCAGTACTTCTGTTAGTCTCAAAGGTGCCACAGGACCCTCTGTTGCTTTTTTGAGGATCTGGTCTTTTTTCCCTAACTAGAAGGTTTCAACCCTGGAAAATCTTGAAATATGTAATCTTTGTGCATCTGTCTCCATTCCATCTGTCTCCATTCCATTCCATTCTGCTGCAGAATGGAGTCTACCTTCAGCTTGGCAGTAAGAAGCCTTGTGCAAACACAGAAATCAATGGCAAAGCTTTTACTTTCCCTCATGTGAGCATTCAAACTGTAAATTGTGATGTAACCAGACTTGTAGTTACATAAAAGTTCTAACTGCTGTTTATTGACAAACAGAGCTGAAATATACAAGCTATCAAAATGTTGGATACATTTCAGGATGCAAACATTCAGTCAGTATGGAATATGTCTGTCTGCAAACCTAGAGAGAAAAACATAGTGGAATTTCCAAAGCAATTTAATAACTGTTTCTTTCCTCTATTTTATTATTCCCCTTTCTCATAATTCAACTTCCTTTCCAGTCTCCCAATATGAATGATCAAATTAAAATGTAAAGATTTTTTCCTCTGTTTTTAGATCTGTAACAAATATATTTTCTTCTTAATGTCTATCAGCCACAATCTCTGCTAAGATCATTAACTGTAAGGTTGGGATTTGAATGATTAGTTTTTCAAAGGTCTTCTCTTCCATGTAATATCTTCAATATAATCAGATCCAGTGCTGTGTCATTCATGTACTGGAAAGGTATAGCTGTTTTATGAATCCTGAAGTAACTAGTAATGCATCACTGATCAAGGACCTGATATATGCTTAAGTCCTGTTGAAGTCAATAGGAGAGAAGTATGTGCATAGGAATGCGGTTGTTCACAGGCTTAAATTTAAGCATGTACTTAAGTAATTTGGTGAATCAGGGCCTACATGATGGAAGTTACAGCATCTAGTTCATTTCACTCTCTATCATTCATCAGTCTCTTTGGAACACATCGGAAGATTTCAGTTAAAATGTGGAAGCAGCTCCAAAAGCCTTAAGATTTGTGAGCACTTTAGAAAGAATTGGTGATTATAAAAATACCAAGACTGCATTAAAATAATTAATACAAGAAGAATCAAATGGCCATTCCTCTTCTTTCTTGAACCAGCATTGATTCCCGTTTCTGTAGCGATATTTCAGCTAACATTGCTTGACTATTTCCAGCATGGAAGAGAAAGCTGTCACATAATGTTTGCAAGGTCAGAAGAGGAGGGATCAGCTTGCATAGAGTGCTAAGAATTGCCAAGAAAGAGAGTCAGAATAGATAAGTATGAGCTCACAAATTCCATTCCCTTATAATAATCTAATGTGTTATCTTGCAACATCTATCTCACAATTGTCAGCATCATTAAGGCAAATTCCAAAAAGATGTAGCATCTTTGCAGATCAAGCACGATGGACATATAGTGAACAGCCAGCCAGACCATCCTAAAGGACCTAGCTAGAGATCGATCCAGATGGTACTCGATCTGCATCTATCACATCAGCTACCTCTTTATTTATCTGTCTGCAGCTCAACATCAGTTGACTGGTGCCCTTCCAGTTCTTCTTCATATGCAATTAATCATTCACTACAATGGAAATTAGATTGAATGACCCTTGTATCAAATGTTGGGACTAGTGTTCGCTAGTGCATGCTGTTGAAGCTTATTTATATGCTGTTAGATCAAGGCAAGTGTTCCAAACAAGATTTGCTTTCCTGATCGACAAAGCAATAAAGACTTCAGGAACTTTTACATCCAGGTTTGTGAACTGTGCAGGATTTAGTGACAGGTATATAGTACATTTTATCTTGCTACAAAGTTACGTGTATTCTGTATAATGACTTGTTTACAAATGTTTCTTCTGAGTGGTAAAACTAGAATAAGCAGATAACCTATCTAGATTTGTTCACATATCTGGTTATCTTCTGTCCCAGACTGTTACTAGGTATACTAGAGAGTACTGCAGAGTGACAGATATTAATCTATTCAAAATATTTCATTGAAAGAATTGTGAAAGGGAGCTTGAATGCGCTGAAAAAAGCCAGGAATTCAGAAATAAATGTAAAGGTCCTTTACTTCTTTTTGGTTTCTCCTGAAGGATACTCCTCAAGAAGCACCTTAAAGGCATCTACAGCTCAGTCTGAGGCATTCAGGACTGCAGCAAGCCAGGAAATTGCTCCAGCTGCCACTCCATCACCTGTGCTGCCCTCTTTTTTCTTACCAGGGGGATCCCATATACAGCAAGAAATCCTGACAAGGTGAGAAATACTAATTCTTCTTTTTTAAATCCTCCTTGCGGTTTTAATTGGGAAAAGGTATTCTTTGCGTTTTGTCCTGAAGTATTATGTAGTGATGCTGTTTGAGCTTGAACAGTCGCTGCAATCCATCCTATTGGTAGACGACACTTGTCCCCCATATAGAATGTGTATCAGCTTGCAAAGTGCTTTAGCATTCTTCATGATAAAGGCTGCATATAAATGTAAGATCATTTCTTGTCATGCTTAATTTATTTCTGATGTTTTGGCAGGTTTTTTTTAGAAAAGCACGCCAGTGAAGTGGTGCATTTAGAGCTGTCCTTAATGACGGAAGAAATACACATGATCTGCTACTTTTATGAATCAGCCAAAGCTAAGGAAAAGGAAGAATGTAAAGAAAATTGGGTGAGACTGGTGCTGAGTAAGCCTGAAGTTTTCATTCAGAGTATGGGAAATGAGAGTTTTCTTATTTCCTTGCTGAGTGGCTTTCATTTTTTTCACATCACATGACAGAGATAGAATATCTCCCAAAGCACATAGGAAGCTGAAGCACTGACCATTTCAATGCAAAACATAGAGGCCAATGTTTTTAAAAATGGGGATCTAAAATTAGGCTTCTATAGCTATAGATAGATATCTACTTAAGTGACCTGATTTTCAATATGAGCCCCTGCATGCTGAACTTCAGGCCACTTTTTTATATGAGTTAATTTTTGGCTCATATGTTTAAAAATCTTGGCCACAGTTTAATTGATTATTTTCATTTATGTGGTCTTAAACATTAAACAGCTGAAGCAGAAATGTCTCTGTAGTTTCAGGGGATGAAATGCCGTAAAGAAATGGATGTAGCCAGCGACTGGGACACATTTCTGAAGGAGTTAGCTGAATGCCACCAGCGTGCTGAACAAGCTCTCTATCAGAAGCTTTGGGAAGAAATCAAGCAGTCAGGGCTCAGCCGGGATCTAGTAACACCCAAAGACCACTTACGTTCTCGAGATGAAATTCTACATCATTTATCACGGCTTGGTGCTGATTTGCAAATCACAGATTCCCACATCAGATATGATGTCACTAAAAAACAAGATGTGAGTTCAAGGTCTTATTTATATAACTGTAACTAAACTGTCACTTTACTAGTTTGTTCTTTTCTCTGTAACAAAAACCGGTTCTGGTCTTGACTGCATGTGTCAGAAAAACATGATTTGAATTTTCAGCCTTTAGTTTTGCCAAACAGAAATTTTATTTCTGATCCAAAAATTAACCCTGTCACAGACAACAATTTGTGGAAAGTATTTTATGTATTGGTGGTAAAGTGAGGTAAATCCATCCACAAGATAAGCTGGTTGTAGAATGAATTTCTATGTTTTTTACGTTGAAAACTCTCAGCATCTTAGTCTCTTTTACTCCACAGGAAACACAGTCTTTGGAAGCAGAACTAGCTCCAGACTCAGCAACTCAAATATTACAAGCTTCAGCCGTCAAAATAGTAAAGTTAGAAGTTATGAAACAAGTGTGTCTCTATAGAATATTGGATCTCTATAATGAACTCCAGGTATATCCCGTTCATTACTCCTCCATTTCACTACCCTCACATGAGAAGTTAATGCCAATTTGCTAAGGTCTGCATGATACCTTGAGAATATAAAGTACTACATGAACATGCTAAGGATCATTCAAATTCAGACCTTTTCCAGTCAGAGTTCGAAAATATAAAGGAGACTTGAATCGGCTGGAATTCAGCTACAACAGGATAAAGCTCACTGCATCTCACAGCCACATCAGTGGCACAAGCTAAGCACAACCAGTGGCATATTCAAAGTATAAGACTTAAGCACCCAGTTCTCTGATGTTCACTAGGAGCTTAATGCCTAATTGCCATTTGTGCGTTTAAAAGCTTCCCCCAACTTCCCAGATCTGTCAACACAGATATTCCTCAGGATGCTTCCTGTCTCTGGTTCATATCTCCACCCGAGACAATCACGTCTTGTTGCCAGTTAGACTTGATGAGGCAGCAGGAGTTTCTTGGTAGAATTCAGAGACCACTACTTGCTGACAAAAGCGATAGTATTTTATTCATTATAATGTAATTGTATTACAGTAGTACCTTGTGTCCCCATATATACACAAAGTAAAAAATAGTCCTTGTCTTGGAGAGTTTATCTTAAATAAACAAGACAGAAAAGAGTGAGAGACAGGAAGTATTGTCTATCCCCATTTTACAGATGGAAAACAGTGGCACTGAGAAATTAAGTGACCCACACACAGTCTTTAGCAGAACTCAGATCTAACCCAGATAATCCTGATTCCCATGCCTTAACCACAAAACCATCTTTCCTCCTTCTAAAGCCGTGCATGTTTGGGGCGTGGTTTGCCAGGCGTGTGCAAAGTTTGAGCTACTTCCCGCCGCCTTTTGTAGTGCCATTTACATCTATGCTTATTCTATATTTAGGAGTCCATCTATCAACTGTGCATGCTTACTGTGCACACACAAACTCACAAAACATATTCTGCACCCTGATCCTCTTCAATCAGAAAGCATGGGATAGAACATGTATGTCAATAGAGTGGGGTTACAGTATAATGTACTCTGCCTCATGAGTTACACAAGAGCTAGCTATCGACTCAGCAACTCAAATACTCAATGCTAGAAACAAAATCTCGAATGTAGCAGCCAAGGAACACTTATTTTTCCATATCACTATGTTTTCTCTCTTAAGAGACAGACCTGTCCAGAACGTGTGTTAAGGATTCTGAACACTTTACACTACAGAGCTACAGGAGAAACTGTAGCCCAAGAGGTGGCCCAGATTACTGAGAAGCAGCAAGTGGAGAGAGCTGTGGCTTTTCTCCAGAAACACCACAAAGAAGGAGACTTACTTATTGGTTTAAAGGAAGAGTCAGAGACTGAACTGAGGAATATGCAGACACAGTTCAGACTGGAGCTTCAAACCCAAACAGAAGAAAAGGTACAATTGCTATCATGTTAATCTCTCTCTGTTTATGCTAGGGTGACCAGATGACAGGAAGAAAATATCGGGACACAAGGGGGGGGGAGGGGGGGGGAGAGAAACCAACAGAAAACAGCTGAGTGCTGCCGGCAGTCAGAGGA